GCCAGCTCTACCCACTGAGCTGATCGGGCGCCCTCCGGTTTGAGGTTTCTAAATACAAAGTATTGTAATTGTCGACTGAACTTACAGAGAGAAAACTATTTATGTTAAAACAAAATAACGTTTTTTTCATCTATACTTGAATGGAATGTTTGCCAAAGCAGTAATTAGATGTCACAAGCAAAACTGATATAATGATTAATAACTAAAGGTTATGTTATATTATAGGAATGATTACTGAACAGAACAGTAACAATAGCTAACAGCTGAAGTGAAATCTTCATATGAACAACATGCACATCTCCTGAAGTTTTCATCATAATAGCACCAACAATTAGATAACACTTTGAATCTGACAGCTCAGCAAATACCAAGTAGTTGAAGTCTGAATGTTGGAATTATACATGAACCTTCCTTGAGGATCAAAGGAGGCACAAGTGAACACTTTTGCTGTCTAATCAAGGCTCATAGCTTGAGCTGTATCATATGCTACAAACAGCAAAAAGAAATCCAGTAATGTGATTGGTCACCTTGTGTCTGGCCAGCTGTTGAGTGGCTGCCTCCAGGCTGCCACCCACAGTGGGGTCAGGAGTCACCATTCTGCTGGACATCTGGAGCAGCCAGCGCTCCACTTCCTGGAGCTCGTTGTGGTAAGCTTCCTGTTCCTTCACCTGGCCTTCCAGATTCTCCACATGGGCCTTGACCACATAATTCACAAAATGTGTGCACACACACACACACAGACAAATTATACTGATTACAAAAAGCCTGTGCAACAAACCATTACAACCACCTTTCTGACAAAATTACATGTCCTTTATCTATGTCTGATTCATTGTAAAGCTTAAAAATCCTTCTTAAACCTATCTTTTCTGTATTACTAATAGGTGAAATTATGAAGGTATCGTATAATTTGCAACAATTCATCTGCTAACTCTCCTGCACAGAAAGAGCATTTACATTTTCTCTCCTGTTTATCATAACTTCTGTTATCTGAGCACATGTCCTCACCATGGCAGTATTACAGAGTTCAGTGTAGTCCTTTTTCAGTCTGTTCATTTTGTCTCTGATGGACGGGTAATGGACAGAGGCCAGCAGAGCGTCTCCTTTCTCCACTACTGACCTGATGGATCCATCATGGGACTGAACCATTTGCAACAGAGCCTGGGGACACAGACAGACAACATGCGTCATTAGTATCCTCTAGTACAGAGAAAAGACCATCATTAATACATGTGAGGTTACGTGAGTATTAATGTATTAAATTACTGCGATTGGTTCAATACTGTCAGCCATTTTCCAAAGCACACAATAGGCATGTATCAATACAAAAAGCAATGGTATACTACGGAAAATGGTCAGCAGTTATGTAAAGTATATTAAATTGTGGAGCTAATGGTTTAAGACATGCAAGGACACTCATGTGGTCCATTAAGTTAATAATATTCAGTAAGGTTCTTGGACCCACCACAGTGTAGGGCTTTATTCTCATGAGTTCAGTTTAAATACAGTATAGAAAAAATGGCGAAATTACATAGTTGCTGCTGTACCTTATACTTAGCCAGCAGTGCTCTACGTTGGTACAGTTCAGCCTTGGGCTCCACCGGGGTGCTGAGCAAAGCCTTGGTCTCCACCAGCCACTGGGCCTGAGCCTTATACCGGTCCTGGAACTCCTTAGCTAGCAGTAACGCCCGCTGTAGAAAGCTGTGCTTCTGCCTCAGGCCACCTGCGAGCTCCTCCAACTGGGCAAGGCGAGCCTCTACCTCCCCTCCTAAACACTCAGCTCCGGCCTCGTTCAGAAAGCCTGCCGCCTGCTCTGCCCGCTCCCTCAGTGATTTCAGGAAGCTGTGGCCGTGTTGGAGCTCAGACTGGAGAGTCTGGGTGAAAGAGAGAGCAGAAATACAACTCAGCGTGGGTGCCGCTACAGTGTTATCACCTTACTTTATATTAAAAGACCTTCAACCAGGGCATTCAAAGAAAAAAGAGCAAAAGACTGCTTTTCTGTACTGGTGTATCAAACATGTAGCATATATACTTTAGGATGAGGAAATCCTGCCATCAATGTTTCCATGACTTTGAGGTTAACATTCAGACACAGTATCACTGATTTCTTTGTCCTTCACCTCCAGTGCTGCCTCAGTCATTCAGACCAGCCTGGCAGTGTGTTTGAAAGGCTTTGAACCCATCAGGTAGGCTGACACCTGCACGGTGAGATGTGGAGAAGACTTGGAGGTCATGGTGTGGAGAAACCATAGTGAATAATATGAAAGGAGGACCCAATTATAAGGACCCTTAACACGGCAGCACTAGCTGCAGGGGTTTCCAGGGCAACCACAACACACACACACACACACACACACACACACACGCGGACCTCCACTCGATGGTATGCTATCTAGCTTTCATCATCAGTCTATTATTGCTTGAGTAGAGAGTGGCTTCACACTGCAACAACCACGGACCTCCAGCTTCTGCTGTTGATAATGTAATATAACAAGACCTGTGTCTGTATACACACGTCCATGTTTGGTGCTTAATATGAAGCTTCAGGCATGTTCATCATTTCATTAACAATGCAGAGCGTCCCTGCCTTTGTGACCTTAATAGGAGACACTCGATATATCTCAATTCCTACAAATCTGTGCGGTTAACATGTAAGATAAACCAAGGTAGCTGGCAGTAATTGCCATTTGCAGTAGATTTAGTTCTGCATGACTCATTATCTCCACTTCATATCGCAACATCTGCTCTCATTTTATACCTGACATTGAGTATCCGTCTTAGCAACAACAGTTGTTGAAACTGATGGTTATTAATCCTAAACAGTGAAATATAAAAAGATCTCTTGAACCTGATTTGTGCATTTTAGATCCAAGACTACTAGAGGAACCATTCAAAACTCTGAAAGACTGAAAGCATCTATTTGTTCCAGTAAGGACAAAATATTAATTTAGTATTCTTGGCTTAACAGAACTTTCAAAGTTTGGTTGCACAATCTGTCTTGTCTTTGGATCAAATTACACTGATGGAAGGCTGGAAATGTGCTTAGCATTATATATGAGGGCCTGAACACAACGTGCCCTTTATGCTGTAAACTGTCTTGTACCATGTCAGCCGTAATTATGCATGTCAAGTGTCTTGTGCACCCGCTGTAAATGATTGAGCAGTAATTCTGTTTCTTATTCTGCATCAGTTCTCAGGCTCCATTATCTCCTGTAATATATCTACTGGGGCAGTGACAACCATGTTCATCAGTTACATTATCTACTAACAAGGGTAGGACATGACTAAGGTGACCCTGTGGGCAGCAGTTAGCTCTGCTGTCATTGTCTCTCTGCTGGGAATGTAGAAGCAGGCAGAAATCCTAAAATGGCGGCGCCAGAACTGTAAAATAACAACTTTTTTTGTTCTAGTGCCATTTGTAATGTCAACAACATTGATTATTTCTGATAACAAGGCATTTAAACATGGACCAATTTGCTTTTTGGAGAGACACCTGACTGTGTGCATCAGAAAGCAAAAGGGACTTGGGGGAATAAACGCCCTTGAACATTTATGAAATGCCAGTGAAATTTTAAAATATGGAAGGGGAAGGGGAGGGGGGCTTAATCAAGAGAAGAAGAAACCCTTTCCTTTTTTGCATTTTTTTGTATTTTATCCTGTATACAATGTTTGTAGGAGCCAGTGAGTGGAGCTTTTTGAAGCACTCAAGGGGAGAAACTACTATATAAAACTAAAAAATCTAACTAAAAATGAAAATTAAAAGGTTTAAATGCACTGGATGGGGACAAAGTCAGGACGTGTGAGATGTGAGGAATTTAATGATTTAAAATAGACAAAGCTACCAGAATTTTCCAGACCAAGGGGACAAATTACGCCTTCTGGAAAAAATATATATGTCTTATCATTGTACATGATCACAATACTCTTAGTAAAGTTAAAACATATTTCTATGTCAACACTACTGTATGACTCATGTTTCTACAGTTGCAGTTCAGTATCAAATGAAGTCTAAATCCAACTAATGGCCCTTGACACAGCTATTGACTACTGGTCTTTGTGTCAATGCATAATCATCCCATTTCACTGAAAATCCCTGTGTAGCTCTCACCACAGGAGAATGAGTAAGTGATGGAGCACTCGTGTGTTATCTGCAGTGCTGGAAGGACACATGTGGTGACAGCATGTCTTCAGTCCCTATGCAGAGACAGAGCATCGATCCCAGACAGGGATTACTGAAAAGCCCACACCAGATGATGTATTGTAAATATGTGTGTGTCGATAAATGCGTTTCTGGATATGTGTGTGGAAGACAAAGAGGAAATACATCTAGTGATACGCAAAGAAAAGCAGTGGGAAAAAATGTGTGAAAATCACAGAGGATTCATGGGTTTGAGAGTTTGCTGCAGCTTGTTAGTTAGTACTGTGGATGGGTTTTGAGTGTTAGCGGAGAGAAGTGTGTGTGTGTGTGTGTGTGTGTGTGAATGTGTGTGTGTGATGTGAAGCGGTAAGGGCACTGCATCAATTACAGTGTCTGTGCCAGCAGGCTCCTGACACCGGCGCTTCTTCATCCTCTGCTTCACAGTGGGAGGTCTCTCCCTGCTACCACGCTTCCTCTAAAGCAGCACCCGCTTTGTCTTCATAAAGAGCCGATCGATACACACATACCCATCCAATCCTCTACACACTCGATATGAACTATGCCAAGCAAACGATAGTGGTGATATTCTCTTTACTGTGGGCCTACTTCCCTCCACTGCCCATTTGACAAACAGAGCACAAATAGAAACAGTTACAACTAAGCCAGTGCAGTGAGTTTCTTTTAGTTCAGAGAGCTATCCAAATATTATAGGTACACCGAATGCTTTGCAAGCTTTACAGGTCGTTCCTGCATATTTTACTGGCCAAGCATATTGAAGCTGCCAAAGAAATCTGTACACTTGATGTTACTAGCAGGTACCGTATGTTGCTTGGCAGGAACCGTAATTGCACAAGGACATTTTTTTGCTGGCTTGGATATTGAACTCATATGAGTTTTTGCTCAATTTCTCCGCTACAAACTGTCTTGCTAACTCATCAGTTTGCAATGGTAATACCCAACATCTGTGCTGATTTATTGCAACCTGTTCAGGGAGGTTTATTAAGCGCCGCGCTGCAACTTGTATCCAAATGCCTCACTGAGAAACGGAGGTTCAGAACTGTGAAATTTAAACCATCTAGCCGAACAAGTAAACACAGAACAGATTAAGGTAAATAGATCAATACCTCTAGTTTTTTCATCTTCCTCTCCATGGCGACCCGATCCAGAGGTTCAGAACTGTCAGTTAATGCTGTGAAGCTTTTCTGAGTTGAGCTGAGCCAGTCAGTGAAGGACATGCAAAGGTTTTCAGCCTCCTCAATGCTCTTCAGCTCCTCCTGAAGCTGCTTGATGGTGTCCTGAAAAACAATCGGATGATAAGTCAGAAGCAAAGTTTAAAAAATATATACTTTTTCAAGAGAGACAATTATAATTATTGTACATTGCTAATAGAAATTGCTTCACAGTGGATAGTAAATTGATAATTTTGTCACTTTTTTGTTGTTGAAGGATACACTGTAAATATGTGAAAAGAACATCACATTTCAGGGTAGGTTTTGTGTGGTCATGTGATTATATTGGCAGTAGACCACATGACTGAATATCTACAGTACATCTGATAATTAATACAAAGTCAATGTTGGCCCCAATATATAAATATTTTTTAACTTAGTAATTAACAAGATAATAGTCATATCCTACCATATTAACATTATATTTAATAGTAGGAACATCACGGTGAATAACATCACTTCAACAACTGCTCCCTTTTTGTTTCAGAGGTTAGAACTGTAAGATGTGGACTGTATTTGGTCAGGGGAAAATTCAGGAAACCTGGTCTGTAGCTTTTTCTTTTAAGCTGTGAGATGTGGCCACCAAGGACCAAAAGCTCTCTGATCAACCATCAAAACAGAAAATATCCGTTTCCTCCCTTCCTCATTCATCTGCAGAACGTCAATAGCTTCACTACAAGGTGGAGAGGGGTTTTATGTTTTGATGCATTATCCACTTGACTGAGATTTTGAGTCAATAACACCATGAGGATGGAGAGGGTTTCTTGCAGGTTTGACACATTATTCACTCAACTTGCAAATCCTGTGGTGAGAGGCTCCAATTAGCTCATAGTGCTGAGTGCACACCTTTTTCTGACTAGACAGAGGTAACAGCTTCCCACCTCAAGCCCATATGGCCCCCACTTCACACAGTATAATTACAGCCATCCGTGGTATGAGAGGGATGTTATGTGTCTGCATACATATGCATCGGCATGACTGTAAGTATATACATGCTTGAGTCAACTTTGAGAGGGGAAGGAAAGGGTGTGGGTAGCACAGAGACAAAGGGGGAGACGCACACGCACACATCAACTCAGATGTGTTACCGAAGGTGTAAAAATCAATGCAATGCAGGCAAAGCTTTTCCACTGCTGGTGCCGGGTGTGAGATTGCCTTCTGTAGCGTTTAATTACAGCCTTAGCCCCAGACCAGAGGAGCCCCATTGATTTTCCTTTAGTCCCCCCCAGAGGAGCAGACAAATAGAGAGGCTGGATCTGAGTATACAGAAGCAACACAGGCTGGGCTCACAGGCATAACTCCCAAAGCTACTTCAATGGGGTGTTACAGAAACAAAGTCCAAACTCTCACTGGAGCAAATTCCATGGTGAGAAAACATAACCATGTATAAGAAGCCCACTGCGGAAAGAGAACCCGATGGCAATGCACACAACTTTATCCAGAGACAGTGTAACGCAAAAGTGGTTAAACCTATACTAAATTAAAGTTGTTCTATTCTTAACTAATGATGACAAGAAGGTACTTTTTTTTATGGTGGACAGAAAATTAAAGGTCCATTGATTTTACATTTAGGAGGAAAGAAAAGAAAATATTCAAATATAATAGTCATAGGTGTGTTTTCATTAGCATAAATAAGAATAATTTTGTTTTCTTTATCTTAGAATGAGTAGTTTTTATCTACAGAGGAAGCGGGTCATCTTCTACGGAGTTCACCATGTTAATCTGACATATTTCTACAGTAGCCCAGAGCGGACAAACCAAACACTGGCCCTAGAGAGGGCCTTTCATGTTTGCAGCCAGCAGAGTTTCTCCTACATGCTTGGAAACGGGAAGGTAAGGCGAGGACGCTGCACAACTACACAACTACATGCCACTTCTTGTTCCTACAGTTGGATGTTTGAGCTTCACTGCGCAGGATGACGTATGTGCAGAGTTCGACACTAGTAGGATGTTTTTACATTAATGTGCTGAAAGTGGAAAGTGCTCTTTGTGCTCATTTAAAATCAGATTTTAAGAGGCATGGCCTAAGATGACTTAACATCAAATAGTTTGGAAGTCAGTTCTGATCCAGTATGAATCTTTAATGAGGTAGAAGGAGCAGATGTTTTTTTTTTAAAGATTTTAATGTGGAAATTGCACTTT